AAAAAAAAAAAAAACCAAAAAAAAACCAAAAAAAATGAAAGGCCAGTGTGGGCACCACTGCTAAGGTGAGAGGATCGCTACGAGTTTGAGGAAAGCCTGGGCTTCATTCTGAGTTCAAGGCCAGCTGGAGCTACATACATGGTAAGAACCTGTCTCAAAATAAAATAAAAAAAGGGCCAAACCCGGCATGGTGGCACTTGCCCTTAGTCCCACCACAAGGGAATGCTGAGGCAAGATCATCAATGAGTTCAAGGCCATCTTGGGTTACTTAATGAGTTCAAGGTCAGCCTGAACTACATAGGGAGCTCTAGTCTCAAAAAAACAGAACAAAGGGCTGTGGGTATAGCTCAGTAGGAATGGTCCTGAGTTCAATCTTCAGTATATCCCAAAAAACCAACCAACCCAAGGGTCACTGGGGAAGGTATAATTTCTGCACCTTGGGGAAAAAAAGGGGTATGAGAGGAGGAATCTCCATAGGAAACATCTTTTTGTTCAGTGAAGATTTCAGAATATCTATGGAATCAAAAAGCTAATGATTGAGGCCAGTCATGGTGGCGCCCGCACTGGGGAGGCTGAGGCAGGAAGATTGTTATGAATTACAGGCCAGCCTGGGATACAAAGAGAGCTCAAGGCCAGCCTGAACTGCATAGCAAGACCCTATCTCAAAAAGACAAAAAAAAAAAAAACAAACAAACAAACAAAAAAAAAACCCAAAAACAAAAAACTAAAGATTAAACCAGAAACAAGGAAACTAACCTGTCAGTACCCATGCTGGGCTAAATGGAGATCAATTAATGGAAAACTAAGCTGTTTCCCATGCACCCTCCCGACTACCACCAATATGGCTTCAGTTTCTGGTGTACTGCATTATGCAGAGGCTGAAAGATTAAAACAAGGAGAAAATAGTGCTCATATTTTTCATAAAAGCATCGGAAAAGGACTGAATAATATAGGGACCAAAGAAAATCTCTAAATGAAAAAAATATTCTTGTGCCCTAGCTATTCTGCTCCTCACTGTATGGTCCTACTTTGCTGGTCAAAGCTACAGACAGAAGCTTGCAAGGTCCTTTGGAATGTTTATTGCCTGGTTACAACTGGCAAGTCTTTGCATGATCATTTGCATTACAATCAGCAGCACACTAATCTGAGAGGAAGCTATCCATTAGAGACTTTTTTTTTTGAGATAGGGTCTCCCTTTGTAGCCCAGCCAGGCCTTGCACTTGCACCAATCCTCCCCCCTCAGCCTCCTGGTTGCTGGGATTTACAGGCCAGTGCTGGGATTATAGGCCTGAGCCACCACGACCTGCCTATCCTTTACAGATGAATACTGAATCAACTGGGTGAAAAAAGATACGTAGTTACACCCGTAAAGTGGTTTAAAGAAGCAAAAGACGGGGCTGGGGATTTAGCTCAGCGGCACAGCGCCTGCCTGGCAAGCACAAGGTCGTGAGTTGGATTCCTGGTACCAGAAAAAAACCAAAAAAAAAAAAAAAAAAAAAAAAAAAAGAAGCAAAAGACCCGCGTGGAGTGGTGGCACACATAAATCCCAGGACTCCAGGGGCTGACGCAGGAGGATCGCTGTGAGTTGAGGGCAGCCTGGACTGCATAGTGAAACCCCGTCTCAAAAAAATAAGGGGGAAAAGATACGGCAAAATAGTAAAAACCATTTAAGGTTAAATCAAAAAAAAAAAAAAAACAAAAAAACCCTTTGGGCCGGCGATATAGCTCAGCGGCACAGCGCCTGCCTGGCTGCGTGAGGTCCTGAGTTGGATTCCCGGTATCCTGCCCCGCCTAAAAATGTTTGAAGTAATCTTACCTAATTTTCTGATCACTGGGTGAAAACCGAGCTCTACCAGCTGACTGCAAGTTTATGGGCAATGCTTATTTTGATTAATATGGAAACAAAAGCCCCTATCAGGACCAGAAGATCCTGCATTGGGCCGCGGATACAGCTCAGCAGCACAGAGCCTACCTGGAAAGTGCGAGGACGTAAGCGCGATTCCCGGTACCGAAAAAAAAAAAAAAAAAAAAAAAAGTACTACATTTAGCTGGAAGAGGCAATGATAGAAGTAAGTAATCGAGCTATTTATCTAACATGGTCTAATGGTGCTTGTGGAGGGTCGAAATTGGGAAGCTTTACTGGCAAGGTTGTGAAAAACATTCAAATTGCAATGCACTGTTCTATTCTGCCTCTGCCTCCTCAGCGGTGGGAATACTGGTGCGTCTACCACGCCAGGCTTGACAAATAAAATTTAAAGGGCTGGGGTGTAGTTCAGTGCAAAAGCCCTAGGTTAAATCCACAGTACAGAGAAACATTGTAGCATGCATGTAAAAATTGTCCTTACCCACCCCTCACACACAGCGGCGAGAGAAATGCGTAAGTTCAGGAGAGGCTGTCACTACAAAATATCCCGATGTGTATCCCTACTAGTAGCTACACTGAGGAAAGTCAAAAATTCGGTTCCAGAGGTACAGTTCCCTAAGATTTTGAGGATGACTCAAACTTGGTATCGCGGACGCAAGATTAATACATCACTTTATCCAGTCAGCTAGATCTAACCTAAGGATGGCTCCAATTACGCGGTAGACGATTCTGAAGATGTGAAAAGCCGACGCCAGCCAATCTAATGGAAGTTGTCAAACAGTGTTTTCGCGCCCTTAGTGCGTAACACCAGTTTCCCTTAAAACCAAAAGGGACCAAAACCATTTCGAATTGAAAAACGGCATCTTAGACTTCGGAGGACCAGGGCTCTGAACGCGGTAGGTTCTCCGACGCACAGGAGCCCAAGAGCTGGTGTAACCCAGTCCAGCCTAGTGGCTCCACCGTGAAGAGACAAAGCCACGTGTCTCCAAGGCTGAGGCTAAGCATCCGTCCCCTCCCGTCGCTATGGGCAGCCACTGTCCCCGCAGCAGGTCTTCCATCCTTACCTTCCAACCGAGCGGCTTCGCCTGATGCTCCATCTTGATTCCACCCCACCGCACGGTAAGAATAAACCTCTCCCTCCCGAGAGAGGTAAAATAACGGAAAGAACCCGCGGGGCACCCTCCGCAGAGCTGCCCCTTTCTCCCTCCCCCAGTTCCCCGGAACTCACGCGGGGTCCCAGCCCCCACCGCCCGGCCAGGTGAGGACCGCTCAGGGTCCCAACTTCGCCCTTACCACGTCTCCTGGTTGCTGAATTTCTTAGTCACCACCTTGCCCAGCTCCAGGCCCAAGCGATCGGCAATCTTCTGGGATAAATCCTGGTGGGAGCTGCCGCTGAAGATTTTGATATTCGGCATCTTCGGCAGCTACCCTAGGCGCTCTTCGCTCAGCGATCACTGCTGCTGTGGAGACGGGAACCTAAGCCGACCCAGGCACTTGCACCGAACGCTTGACGTTACTACTCCGCCATCTTACATTCCCGCCCGGCACGCTGCTCTAAATTACCTATTGCCCGAAGGCGGGATCAGCGCGAAGGCCACACCTCCACCGGCTTCGATTTGCTGAACCGGAATGAGGGGCGGAGTCTGGGCTTCGGCGTCACCCTCCCTCGGGTTCTCTTGGGTACGGGCTGCAGGGTGCCAAGTGCGACGAGAGGAAGAAATGGCCCCGCCCCCTGGTCGGGGGGGGGGGGGGGGGGGGTAGCTCGGGTGGAGACGTTTGCCCGTGGGCGAGAGGATGTGGGTGGCGGGTTATCGGTGACGGGTAGGGAGAGATCTTTGCCCCAAACGGCGCGCTTGCTTTTTGTGTTTTTTTTTCTTCAGAGAAAAAAACTAAGACTGGCTCTGTTTTATAGTTTCCTGTAATAAAAATCTAGATGACAGCTACAAGAACGTGCAGGGTTTTTAACAAGATCTTTACGTCTTTATTGGGATGGGGAAGAATGAAGGCATTTTTATCTCAGAGACGCTCAAAACCCCGGCGCATCCAAAGAGATTCTTTACCCTTCAGACAGCACAGGGCTGTCTGCCTGGAAGACAAATTCCAGGAGGAAAATGACAAGGGAGGCTACCTGAGTCATCTACAGGCACTACAAGGAAAAATTGTGTTTAGTTGTTAATGCTGACCACGGACTTTCAAACAAATGAAAAAGAGAGGATTTGCCAAAATGTCTGGGCAGTAAAGGTCTGATTTTGGAAAGGAAAGAAAATATACTATGGGACTTCAGAAAGAGTCCCGTAGGAATCAGAAAACCTAGCTTTTAATACCGTCTGCCGGCCTCACCTGAGCTTCAGCGGCATGGCTTGTATTGCTAATGTGACTTTTTAAACATTTTAAATTTCGATACAGGGCTGGACTTGAATTTGCAGTTCTCTTGCTTCCACCACCCAAGTACAGCACACGCCAGTGCCACCACTCCTAGCTCACTAATACGGCTTTTACCATTGTTTTATTTTTATGAGGCTTGTTAATGGGCCAATGAAGACCTTAATTCTTACATCGTGTTTTCCTTAAGCACATTCTAGGTATGGATTAGAGAGAAAAATCACAGAATTTTAGAATCAAAAGGGACTATATTCCCGGGCATGGTAGTGCATGCCTGTAACCTCAGCACCTGGGATGCTGAGGCAGGAGGATCCCTGTGAGTGTGAGGTCAACCTGGGCTACACAGTGATACTGTGTCTCAAAAAAAAACCACGTGACCTTATGGGCTTGGGATGCGATTCAGTGGTGAAACGTTCGGAGGCCTTGGGATCTATTAATCCTGCTACATTTTGTTTTGTTCAGTGGTTCTAGGGCTTGAACACAGGGCGTTCAACCTGAGCTACAACCCCAGTCCTTTTTTATGGTTTTTAAATTTTGAGACAAGGGCTCTGTAAATCACTGAATTGCCCAGGCTTGGCTCAGATTTGGGATTCTCCTTCCTCAGCCTTCCAGAGTGCTGGGATTACATGTGTGCACTACCACGCCTGTCTTCACTTCTATTTTTATTATTGGATCCAGATGTGGTGATGCATTCTTTTCATCCCAGCACTTGGGAGGCTGAGGCAGAAAGATTGCCATGAGTTCCTTCAAGGCCAGCCTGGACTACATATATATGAGCTGAATATAGTAGTGTAAGCCTGAATCTCAGCAATCTGAAAGGCTGAGCCAGGAGGATTCCAAAATTGAGTCCAGCCTGGGCAATTTAGTGACTTAGGGAGATCCTGTCTCAAAATTAAAAAATAAAAAAGGATGGGGTTTGCAGCTCAGAGCAAAAGCCTTGGGTTCAACTCCAGAAACAGAAAAAAAAAAAAAAAAAAAGCAGGGGATAGCCGGGGAGATAGCTCAGTGGCACAGCCTGCCTGGCAAGCGCAAGGTCCTGAGTTCGATTCCTGGCACCAAGAAAAAGGAGGTGGGCTTCCAAGGTCATCTAATCTACTGGCTTCATTTTATATAGCGTGAACCTGAGACCCAGGGGATTCCTCCCACACGCACACCACCTTTCTGTCTCTGTCTCTGCCTCTCATGTACAGTACTGTAGACTGAGCCCATGGACACTCTACCACTGAGCTATATCCCCAGATATATATTGAGACAGTCTTGCTGAATTGTCCAGGCTAGCTGCTGGTGGTGGTGCACGCCTATAATCCCAGCGCTCGGAAGGCTGAGGCAGGAGGATCACTGAGAGTTTGAGACCAGCCTGGACTACAAAGTGAGTTCAAGGCCAGCCTGAACTGCACAGTGAGACACTGTCACAAAAAAAAAAAAAAACAAAAAGTAAACATATAAATAAAAACAAAAAATAAATTGTCCAGGCTGAGCTCAAACTGGCAATCTTCCTGCCTCAGCCTCCTAGATTGCCAGGATTACAGGCATGCACCACTTCACAGCCTCCCACCTTTATTTTAAGCAGCATACTTTGCTGCCATTTTCAGCGGCACCCACGGATGACTTCCGACCTTCTGTCATACCTTCACAAAGTCAACCCTGTCATGTAGGCCCATGTGTACGTATAGGAACAGGAATTGGAGAAGGAAGTAAATTTCAAGGCAGAAGAATGTAAGTGTTCTTCTATCATAGTTCATTCATCCAATCTTTACCTAATATTTTACTGCATTCATGGCAGTGTGCTAGACATCAAGGGGATTATGAAGTTTGCTCCTGAGAAGTTTCTTTGTTCATTGGCTATTTATTGAACACTTTTCATGGCCACTTAAAATACAGCAATAGCCTGATGTGGCGGTACACACCTGTAATCCTAGTGCTCCGGGAGGTTGAGGCTGGAAGATCGCCAGCTTGAGCACAGCCTGGGCAATTTAGCAATTTAACTATTAGTAGGACCCTGTATCAAAATAAAAAAATAAAGCCAGGCATGGTGGTGCACACCTACAATCCCAGCACTCAAGAGGCAGAGGCAGGAAGAGTTCAAAACTAGCCTGAACTGCATAGCAAGACCTTATCTCAGAGTAATAATAATAATAATAATAATAGTAATTAATAGTAATAATAAATAAAATTTAAAAGCAGGGGAGAGCCGGGGAGATAGCTCAGTGGCACAGCCTGCCTGGCAAGCACTGAGTGATTTCAACACCCAGCTCTACAAAATAAATAAATAAACAAATACATAAATAAAGTTTTAAAAAAGAAAAAGAAAAACAACCGCAGTAAACAATCAAAAATCTCTACTCTTACGGAGTTTGTATCTCAAACAATAGACGTGTAACGAAAGAAAATGCAGATTCTGCCAAATGGTGATATGTGCTGCGGAAGGACTGAGGCACGGATGTGGGATAACGTGCCAGGGAGTCCGAGGGAGGAGTACGGTTTTGAATGGGGCAGGCAGAGAAGGCCTTATCTGGAAAAGTATTTGAGCAAAGCCCTAAAGGAGATAAAAAGCCATGTGGATATCTGGGAGGGGGGAAGGATTCTAATGTGCAAAGACCCTGAGGGAGGAAGTCTGACTCCACTGAGGACTGGATGGAGACTAGAGAGGACTAGGAAAGTAAGCTTAGTGAGATAAGAGTGATTTCGAAGAAGGCGTGGATCGTGCAAGACCTTGTAGGCTATTTTAGGAATTTTGCCTTTACTGCGTAAGGGTTTTTAGCAAAGAATGAATACGACTTAACTTCCCTTTTAAAAGAATAGTCCTCGCTGCTGAGAATAGATGCAAGAGGCAAAATAGGAAGCAGAGGGACCAATTAGGAGTTCGCTGCTTAGTAGAGGAGATGATAATTACAAGGGCACAGTTACCATTTAACACAGTCCCATGAGAAGCCTGTATTTGGGTAAAGCACCAACTACTGTGACAAAGAAACCCTTGCTGAGCGTGGTGGTGCACACTTGTAATCCCAGCACTCAGAGCTGGGCATGGTTGCATACGCTTGTAATCCCAGCATTCCGGAGGCTGGGAGCCTCAGACAGGAGACTGTAGCAACTTCGAGACCAGCCTGGGCTACAAAGTGAGCTCAGGGCCAGCCTTAGCTGCATAGCCAGACCCTGTCTCAAAAAGACAAAAAAAAAAAAAAAAAATCCCAGCACTCGAGAGGCTGAGGGAGGAGGATCGCCAGGAGTTTGAGGCCAGCCTGGGCTACATAAGGAGACCCTGTCTCAAAAAAATATAAATAAACGGGCATAGTGACTCATGCCTGTAATCCCAGCATTTGGGTAGCTGAGGCAGGAGGATCACTGTGAGTTCGAGCCCAGTCTTGGCTATAAAGCGAATTCATGGCCAGCCAGAAGTGCATAGTGAAACCCTGTCTCATAAATATGAAAAATAAATAAATAAAACCCAAATACAGAAGCTCAGGGGATGGGTATATAGCTCTGCGGCACAAACACCTGCCTGGCAAGCGCAAGGCCCTCAGTTTGATTCCCAGTACCAGGAAAAAAAAAATAAATGCAGAAGCTCAAGTAAATAAAATTATCTCTTGCATAACAGGCTAGCTAGTCTAGTTCACAATGTTAATTCTAATTTAATTTAATTTTATTAGCACATGTTTACAATTCCTGCAGTTTACAGTCATCTTGGGGAGTGGCTACATGTGCATATTGCAGCTTGCAGTTTTTACTCCCCCTCCCCCTCCTCCTGTGGTTCCCCTGTCTCCTCTTTCATACTCATTGCTATTATTTGTCTTAGCTCATGTTCTGGCGTACAGTGTTTACAGCGATTGGTGATATTAGGGTTCTGTACATGGCACATCTTTATTCTTCTCATTTCCCCTCCCCCTTCTCCCTCCCCCTCTCCTTGTTGTTCCCTTGGTCCACTTCCCTACTGGACTCGATCTGTCCCCTTGTCCCTTTCTATCCATCCTTTATCATTTTCTCTCTTTCTTTCTTTTTTTTTTTTTTTTTTTTTTTTTGAGACAGGGTCTCACTATGCAGTTCAGACTGGCCTTGAGCTCATTCTATAGCCCAGGCTGGTCTCGAACTCGCAACGATCCTCCTGCTTCACCCTCCCAAGTGCTGAGATTACAGGTGTGCGCCACCACACCTAGCAAACATATCTTTTTTTTTTTTTTTTCTTTTTGGTCCTGGGAATTGAGCTCAGGACCTTGCACTTGCCAGACAGGTGCTGTGCTGGTGAGCCATCTCCCTGGCCCCCCATTTGTTGATTCTTGCTGCTATTTCTTGTGCAGTTCAGGTTCTGTT